CCGGGAAGTGAGAGAACATGGAGCGGGTCTCCTCTAGACAGTGCCTTAAATGCAACACAGTTCTTTCCACCTCAGTGAAGTTGGATGCGCTCTTTAGTGTCCCTCTGCTCCTTTCCTAAGGAAATGGAGTTGTGTTAGGATGTGTAGAATGTGGCGCCTGGTGTACTGAAAGCACTCGGGAACTACTGTCAGCATTGTCGTCAGAGGGGGCGACCACAGGTAGGGGAGGACTGTAGAAGAACGGTTTTCCCTGGAAGGTGCAATACCATACTCTTCATTAAAGCCCACTCCTTGTGTGCTATCATTTTCTACCCATATTTTTATTGCTCTTATTAACCCAGTTTCTCCCCATGTCTACCAGATTTACTGTTGGCCTCCTCCACTCCCTAGATAAACTAGATAAACGTGAAGCACTTCCCTCTTAGCTATATTTTAAAGACAACAGGTACACTGAGAGCCCACTTGGTATCTTGAATTTTGTCACTCAGGCTGAAGCTTCACTATGATTATGCAAATGGTAGCATATATGATTTGGTACATGCAATCACTATAAAGATACCACATTGTAAGGGTGTTTTAAAAACCTAGTATGTGTTTCTCGTTAGGGTAGTTGGGGAATTACTGACATTTTATAAGCAAATAAAAAGCAACAGAACATAAACCAAGGTTTGGGGGCTTTGTAGTATTTGTGTTTTGTTTTTATTTCTGATGTAATTCCTAGAATATCTAGCTGAGTAACATTTTAAGGGCTAGATGTGTTTGGATCCAAAGGACCAGGTGGTTTAGGCTTGTTCCTAGGTTGGCACCGTTAGAAGGCAATGGAATCTTTAAGAGGTGGGAGGGCTTTAGGTCATTAGGAGTCAGGCTCCCGGAGCGGATTATGCAACTCTGGCCCATTCCCTCATTTTGCTAGCTAGCTGTGAAGGAAGAGCTTTTCCTCCATCACGTGCTTCCACTATGATAGGCTGCCTTGCTGCCAAAGACCCAGTAAAACAAAGCCAGTCAGTTGTGGACTGAAGCCCCAAAACAATGAGCGAAAGTAAACCTCTCCTCTTTTTAAGTTGATTTGACTCTGACATTGGTTATTATGACAGAAAGTTGGCCAAAATGAGGTTTTTTGATATTCAAATATTAGCCAATAAAGAATATTTGCCGAGTGAATATTTAAAGTAGCCATAATGATGGCTTTCAATGCTAAGTACTTTTTTTTAAAGGTGGTCTTTAGTGCAACCCAAAATTTGTGTTTCTCCTCCTTCAGTCTCCTCCTCAGCACTGGGATTATGGGCACCGGTCTCCAGGCTGGTCTCCTATATGTAACTTTGTTCCATTCTGAGATTTTTTTTTTCAGTACTTTAATATTCTTAATTTTCCAGTTTTTATTTTAGCGAAGGTTTACATGTATGTGGTTTAAAGTCTATGTGCCAAGACACTTTGGAAAACTGCAGTCCCCAGCAGCTGTCCATTTCTGATATGCCTAAGAACAAGATAGCCAGAAGAATGAATGCATTGTCTTTTCTCCTCCCTCCTGCCCTCAGCCTTCTGATGCTGGTCCTTTTGCATAGTAAGAGGTAGCAGGCAGGAAGCCTAGTTGTGCAATCCGTGAAGGCTGGCCTCTGGGCTATCTGTGAGTCCAAAATGACAAGTGAAAGGCTGAGCCCAGGAGTTTTGGTTTCTAGTAACATGTTTTAGGGGCCTGTGTTATTGTTGTTTTTAAAGAGCATTTTAGTCCTGTATAGTAGATGTGATTTCTTTTTATTATCACACCTCTGTGTGTGTGTTTGCACAGGCATGCCTGGGTGTGAGAGCAGAGGTCGGAGGATAGCTGTGGGGGGTGAGTCATCACTCCAGCCATAATTTTTTTTTTTTTTTCCGCTTAAGAACTCTCTTCCAGCATCAGCTCTGTTTGGTTGCAGCTGCTTTTTTTTTTTTTTTTTTTTCTGTTCATTTTGATCTGTTTTCTCTAATAAGAGCTTCCCCTGGGGTGCAAGCTGACCTGTAACTGCAGCTCTGAAGCTGACAGAAACTCTGCACAGATGGAGGGCGCTCGGCATCTTGGGTTTTTACTGCACTTACTGTTTTGTTGGGCGCCCGCAGTGTCCATCCCACTAGCGTTTTCTTGACGAATGCTCCCCTTTTCCTGCATTGCCGGAGCCAGCTAGGGAAGAAGGGTCAGCACTGACTCATCCTTCACTCCTCCAGTCACCATGCTGTCCTCCGGTCACTCTGCTGTCCACATGCCACTGAGACCCGCCCTGGGGTCAAGCAGACCAGAGAGTCATCTGTTCCCCCTGTCAGGAGAACAGACCTGAGCTTCCTGCAGGGGTCAGGGTCTGGCTGCTCCTAAAACAGCTTTCAATCCTTCCACCTTTGGTCCTTCTTCCATTTTGTTTCAGAACCAATTTAAGAGTCCACTCTTGGCTTTGAGTGTCGACTGAGTCCGGTTCAGATTTCCTTAATTGCTAAATTAGTTACCACTTGTCTGTCCCTGACTGCTCGTTTTTATATTACAATGAGATGATGCCTTAAAAACAAACAAACAAACAAACAAACAAACTAAAGTTTGGGGGAGAAAGTAGAAGCTAGCTTCAGCTAGAAGTTTATATGTGACTTTTCTAAGGACAATAAACTCATGCTTTTATAAATTATTGTTACTGATACCTGATCCTACACCAGTGATTTAGTGACAGGAACAGCCACATACCTTGAGGTATATTCCCAAAGGACCCGGTCATCAGTATATCTGCATGCCTCTTTTGAAGCTGCAGATATGTGGCTGATGCCTTCGAGTCTTGGAGCAAGCAATGTTGAGAGGAAAACAATAATTAAAAATTCTGTGTAGTTGTTTTTTTCATCATTTATCTTTAAAACTGAACTCGGTGATCCTAATACACATTCACGCGATTCACGAGGCAGTGACAAGTTGACACACTTGTATTCACCTCATTTGTCCTTTTCTCCGCCCGTTATCTAAATGTTTACCTCACCCACAGGTCTCTATTGCTCCAGAGAAGTGATCCTCCTCTGTACTTTGCTAAAGAAATCAAACTCATTTTACCTGTGCCCTCAGGAACCATCACGGGAGAGGGGGTGGGAAGACTGTAAGGCAGAGGTAAGGGAGGACAGACAGAAAACAGTATTTTCTGGTCTGACAGGACTATTGTAGTCATGAGTTCCCAGCAGCTGTGGCTTCCTGCAGTCAGGAAGTCGGGAGGGACTCAAGATCCTTCACCCCTGGCTGAGGAGCTAGGGGTGACACTTCTGGGATATGTATGGGCTGTCAGGTTTTCTTTAGAGATGTGGCCCCTGGTAGACCAGTTGTACTCCATGGATGCCCCTAGACCTGTGAGTATGTGAGCCGCCCAAATTGGATTCAGTGGATTGTTTTAGCAAAAGAAGACATGAAGTTGGGAAGGGAGTGGGAGGTGGGAACAGAGGTGGGAGGAATTAGGGGTATGAGTAGGAGTGATTATGATCAAAATACATTTTGATATGCATGTCTGAAAATCTCAAAGAATTAATAAGAATACTAAGGCAAGGTGTGATGGTACCCTGGAGGCAGGGGCAAGTTGATCTCCTTGAATTCAAGGCCAACCTTGTCTGGATAGTGAGTTCCAGCCAGCAAGATTATATAGTAAGACCCTATCTCAAAAAGAAAGTATATATTAGATAAGCTCTATTAAAATGTTGTCTTGTGTATATTAACTGAACTGATGTGTAAATCTAGAGAATATTCTTTTGCTTTCTCCATTTTTCTCTATTTACAACCCCAACTGTCTCTCTCCTTCCATAAGCAGAATGTTTACTTTTTCTTTCTGTTTTTAAAATGATTTATTTATTTCATGGTCATTGGTGTTTTGCCTGCATATGTGTCTATGTGAGGGTGTCAGATCTTGGAGTTACAGACAGCTGTGAGCTGCCATGTGGGTGCTGGGAATTGAACCAGCAATCTCTGGAAGAGCAGTCAGCGCTCTTAACCACAGAGCCATGTATGAGAGCTCTATCTGCATGAGCTCTGTCTGCACGCCAGAAGAGAGCATCAGATGTGGTTGCTGGGAATTGAAGTCAGGACTTGTGGAAGAGCAGACAGTGCTCTTAACCTCTGAGCCATCTCTCCAGCTTCCTCCCCCTCGCCTGAAGGCTAAGTCCCATGTGTCTATACAGAATAGTAAAGAGAACAGCTTGTACAAAAGTCAGGAAACATGAAAGAAAAGAGTTATTGGGAAAACAGCAGATTTAGGGCTGTTGGAAGGGGGCTCCAGAATTAAATGGGCGGCTTGAGTGTGATGCCTGTGCTCACAATCTAAATTATCTTGAGTTAACTCCCCTCCTGTGCTTAAATTCCTGTTCTGTGTGGTGAGGAAAGTGCCAGCTACATTTGAGACTTAGTGTGAGATTAAGCATCAAGTTTTAAGATCTGGAATCATAGTTCATGTTGTTGAAATAGCCAGAGAGAAAGTAGGGTATTTGTGTGTTTCTGTCTCTTGCATGAAGCTCTGCAAGGTTAGGAATTCTGTCCTTCATCTTGTATTTTAAACATTTAGAAGAATGCTCAACACACAGAAGTTAAATGTACACTGAAGATTCACTTTAAACCGACTGATGAGAAAGTTAACTTATTTGCATTATTCTGCCTCTGCTGCCTGCAAATACTGACTTTTGCATTTGTATGTTTTCCTGTGTGTGCTGGAAGCCCAGCATGATGTCAGTACTCTTCACGTGTTTGATAGAGGTGGAGTCCTCTAGTTGAACCCAGAGCTCTCCATTTTGACTAGTTTGGCTAGTCAGGGAGTCCCTGTCTCTCAGAGGCCGGGATTACAGACACCTGGCTTTTCCACGGTGCAAACTCCGTTTCTCCCACCTGCAGCAAGCATTTCACACACTGAGCCACTTCTGCACATACTGACTTGTATCTAACTTGGCATCGTGGACTTGAGTGAAATTGTGAGTGTTTCTAACATAGTAATTAACTGGCTTTTCGGTTTCTGTGTGTCCCTGTTCAGGGAGGTGGTGCAAGCCAACTGTGTCCGCTGGAGAAAGAAGTTTTCATTTATGTGCAAAATGAGTGCCAGCGCCTCCACCGGCACCCTGGACCCGTGTTTCTACAGAGTGTCTGTGCGGAAGGTATAAAAATAGCCTATTATTCCTCGCCTTTCAGGAACCATAATTAGCTACAGTCACTGACTCACTTTATTTAGATCTGTTTTAACGGCTGAACTGTCACTTCACACTTACAGTAATAAATTAAATTTCCTTGGAAAATTCGGTAGATAACCTGCAGTTATAGCTCAAGATTCAAAAGAAGCTTCTTCTCAGAATCACTGTACAGATGGGCATCAACTGCATCTGTATGAGTTTGGGGTGTGTGTGTCTGCATCGTGTCATTTATTAAATTCCTATTCTTTACTTAAAAAAAATAACTTTACAAAATAATATTTTCATTAATTCTTTGAAAATGTCATCCAATGCATTTTTGTTGTACTAACACCCCCCCATCATAGCTCTTCCTTCGCCTCCCACCTTCACTACCCTATCCACCCAACTTTGAGTTTTCTTATTTTTTTTAATCTAGTTCACCTTGTGTTGTCCAGCTGCTCTTGGGGAGTGGGGCCAGCCCTGGAGGGTGATGCATCATTGAAGAAAACGGATTGCCCTCTCCCAGCAGCTAGCAAATACCAGTATCTCCTCCAACTATGTGACTGGTAGTTGGATTTTTTTTCCACATCCCTCCCCCAATGCTGGAATTTCCCTGGACTGAGCCCGTGCAGGTCTTGTGTATGCTGGTTCCAACTGCTGTGAGCCCCTATGTGCATCTGTCCCATTGTAGCTGGAAAATACTACTTCCTTGAAATGGTCCACCATCTCTGCACAATTCATACCAAAATTAGTGATGAAGTAGCAATAAGAAAATAATTTTATGGTTGGGAGTCTACAACATGAGGAACTGTATCAAAGCACTGCAGCGTTAGGAAGGTTGAGAAGCACTGTTTTTATAAGTTTATGCTGCTGCTGAGGTGGTGGAAGAGTCGGTTTTAATATCTCAAAGTAGAAATGCTTAGGTTTGAGGGTAGAAGTTTTCACAGAGATAGTCATTCCAGATACCCAACTAAAAGGACGGGATTCTGTTACATGGAAAGCAGGAGCATATAACTAAGGCACAGCTAACATTCTTTCTGCAGAAGCTAAAGAAAGGCATGGATGCAGAAAAGGAGAGGCAGAAAGAACAGCAGCCAGAAAGGCAGGAGGAAAACCGGGCAGATGTAATGTGGGGGAGGTGTAAAGAGGAAAATGGTGTAAGAATGGAGGTCAGTGGCCAAGCCATCACGGCTGCTGAGAGGCTGAGGTGGAAGCAGAGCTTTTGGCTTTTATAAAATGAAGATCACTGGGGAGCTTGAGCTAATAGAGAGGGAAAATGAGGAGAAACCCAGCTGGGGGGAGTTGACTCGAATAGAATGCTGCAGAAGACTGTATGAGTCTTTTCAATTTTGACCATAGAGGACAGCAATGAAAATCATCAAGCTGAGGAGTCAAGGAACACTTAGAGGACATTTCTTTATCAGGGAAAAGCAAATCCAAAAGACTCTGAGATTCCATCGTACACCTGTCAGAACAGCTAATATCAAAAACTCAAGTGACAACACATGCTGGCAAGGATGAGGAGCAAGGGGAACCCTCCTCCATTGCTGGTGGGAGTGCAAACTTATACAACCACTTTGGAAATCAATCTGGTGCTTTCTCAGAAAACTGGGAATAGCTGTACCTCAAGACCCAACTATACCACTCCTGGGCATACACCAGAAAGATGCTCTACCATACAACAAGGACATTTGCTCAACTATGTTCACAGAAGCTTTATTCATAATAACCAAAAACTGCAAATAGCCTAGATGTCCCTCAACCAAAGAATGGATAAAGAAACTATGGTACATTTACACAATGGAATACTACTCAGCGATTAAAAACAAGGAAATCATGAAATTTGAAGGCAAATGGATGAAACTAGAAAAGATCATCCTGAATGAGGTATCCCAGAAGCAGAAAGACATGCATGGTCTATACTCACTTATGAGCGGATTTTAGTCATATTGTACAGAACAGACATACTACAATGCACAGACCACAAGAAGATAAATCTAATGAGCATCTTAGGCTTCATGTCAGCTTACTAGTTAGGGCAGTGGAGGATATCTCTGACATCAACTATGTTGCCTGCTTTTTGATCACTTCCCCCTGATGGGGACTTTCATACAAGGCCACAGGGGAGGAAGATGAACTCAGTCCTCATGTGAATAGATGAGCTGGGGTGTCTGGGTAGGGGGCTTCCCTATTCTGAAGAATAGGGAAGAGGGGATGAGGGAAGGAGGGTGGGACTAGGAGGAGAGGAGAGAGGGACTTATGACCAAGATGTAAATTAAATTAATCAATAAAAAGGAGAGGAAAAAAGAAAGGCACTACTAGGGATATGAGAGTGACCCACTAAAGAAGAAACTTCGATTGCTCATATGGAGTAGAAATAGTGGCAGGAAAGGGAAAGAGCAGCAGATATTCATAAGTAATAACAGAGCTCACTGTAGGCTGTCTGGACTTATGTAAATACATTGTGTGAAAGACAGGAGTGATAGGTAACACTTCATGAACCAGAAAGAGAAAAGCGGAAGAGAAGCAAAAACTCTTCAGTAAACATGTTTTCAAGGTGACTTTGGAGAAAGGAAGTCTGCCTGTGATAATAAAAGGAAAGAAAGTACACAGTGTGGCAGGCATAGTTCTAAGTCCTCACAGCTGTTTGGTATCCTAAATTCAAAAATGTGGCCTGCAGTCCTAGCTGTATGGGAAGCTGAGGTGAGTCACTTGACGTTCAGGAGCTCAGGGTCAGTCGCAGAGAGACTCCATACCAAATACTAGGTAAGTAAATAAAGTTGCAAGCAAAGTAAAAATTTTGGTTATTTTCAAGATTAGTGTTATTGATTTGAATAGTTGGATTTAAAATCATTCTGCTTTTACTGTCTGATATTTACTAGCATACAAATATCTACTTTAGAATTGTTTGCTACAGGTTGCATTTTAAATCCTTCATCATATCATATCCTTATAGTGTTTTTTGTATTTGCAGGAATTAAAGGGTGGGAAAGCTTATGCAAAGGTGAGTCGACGTTCTTTAACTCATTCTGTAACTCATAATGTTGTGATTGGAGCCTGTAGACTTTCTAGTTGTTACTCAAGCTTGACTCATTTTAAGTAAAGCAAATTGGAGATTGAATAATTGGATTTGACAAAGTACTGGAATATTCTTTCTGGGGGCTAGAGAAATGGCTCAATGGTTAGGAACATTGGCAGTCCTTCCAAAGGACCCAGGTTCTGTTCCCAGCACCCAAATGTGCTCCATCTGTGACTCCAGTTCCAGAGGACCCAACCACCTCTCCATGCACTGCATACACAAACATACATCCTGGCAAAATACCCATATGGCAAAGTACACATAATAGAAATAAATTAACCTTTTTTAAGTATATTTTGAGAGTTTATATGGCAGTTATCCTTTAGTCTTAGCCTCCCTACTAAAGAATATTTTCTGGTTTTCTTGAAGCAATAGCAGAACAATTAGACAAGAGATATTGCTGCTCCAAGATTGGTTAATTTACTAAATTTACTGAAGAGTCAGGGATCCATTATCCTCTTCCCTCTGTGATGACCTTATTCTTGATTACGATACCTGAGCATTAGGTGTCTAGTTGCTCAGCGTTTTTTCAACACAATTCATAAACACAAAAACCTAGCTTGTCTCTGTAGGTTATTTTTGTTGAGTAAGAAATTGTTTCCTAGATGCTGTCAGACTACTTGCCCATATGTTTTATTGAGTCTAACTGGACCAAATACCCACCCTTAACCATCTGTGGTCACAGGAATGGATTGCTGTTGTTAAGTTAGACATATTGCAACGGCAAGAGGATAGGTCCTTCTGTGTGCACAAGGATGAGGAAGGAGATTGGCTCTCTGGGAAAAAGTGGATTTGGTGAGCAAGGACTAGCAGGGCCCTGAGTGTTGGGCAGGCAGACACAAGGTCTACTGTTGTCGGTGACTGTTCATGATTTTTTTTTCTCTTCTAAGAGCTCTTAAATATTCTCTCACCTTCTATGAGACTCTTGCCCTAGACTATACCTGCATTATTTTCTGTTGACAGCCCCTGTCGGCCTCCTGCTTGTCTGTTCCCTCTGTTGTCTAACTCCATCTTCCTTAGTCCTGCCAGAGTGGTCTTTCTAAAATTAAACAGATTATATCATTCCCCACTTTTAGTCCTTCAGTAGTTATCCATTGATTATAATGGAAATTGGAAGTTTTTATAAGCTAATAAATAAGACCCATTTTGGTTTGCAAGCCATTTCTGCTGCCTCGTCTCTTGTACCTGCCCCCTGAGTTCTCTGTTTCTCTCTCTGCCCTTCTGCCTCTCCTTCTTATGAGGCATATTGCCCTCATACACTTCCTAGACTATCTCATGCTATTTTAGCTTCTTTGCCTTGTGACTTGACACCATGCGTGTTTTTCTCCCTCCCCTTGTCCTGTCAACTCACATATCGTTAAAGATTCAGCTTAGTCATACCTTCCCACTGAGAACTTCTCTTCTAATTGTGCCTTCCTTTACCACAACACTTATCAGCTAGTACTATTGGAATTTGCTTTCTGTTTCCCCATACTAAGCTATGAAGGTAAGAATAAAGGACCCAGGGATAGCTCAGGGCAGAGCATGAAATAGGCCCTGGATTTCATCCCCAGCACCAAAAATTGGAAAAACATTCTATATTCCTAAGTAATGTCTAGTGCTATTTGGATTACAAATGTTAACAGTTATTTTCTGAATAAGTTAATGTCTATCACAAATGTGGTATATATTACGACATATTTATGAGACTCGTGTATGAAACATACACGTATGTAGATGAATTTTTATGTGACAGTTATCTTGGTAGAACCAAAGATAAGTCATAAGGAAATATGGATTCTGGCACCATGCTATAACATCTGTAATGTTAGTGCTTTGAAGACAGAGTATTTTTCCTGTTCCTTGCTTTTCTCCTGGGTCTAGATAAGAGTCTGGCAAATAAAAGGTACATTGGCATGTCATTTTCTTTAACAGGGACTGTCTTATTTGGGTTTTGCTGCTATACCAAAGTACAACAGCCTGGATGACTTAACATACATTAAGTTCTCACCACTGTAGATGCTGAGAAGTCAAAGGTCAAAATGCCAGCAGATCCATGTCTATGGAGAGCCTCTATCCTGCTTTGCAGATGACTGGCTTCTCAGTATGTCACCGGGCGGTAGATTGTGGAGAGAGGATGCAAGTTCTCTCCTATATTCAAAGTGCATTCATCCAAGCCTTAGTATACAGCTCAGCGGGAGAGCACATTGACATGTGTGCAAGGCCCTGGGTTTGATGAAGAGCACCCAAACCGGACAGATGCATTAGTCCATCCAAGAGGGCTTCAGTCTCATGGCCTGATTACCTCCCAAAGCCCCCACCACTCCATACCATCCTATTAGGAGTTAGACTTTCAACATATGAATTCTGGAGAAACAGAGGCATGCAATCCATACCAGAGATTCTTAGTGACAGTATAAACCCAGTATCACAAGAGTAGATGGTAAGTTAATGAGCAACTAGCCTTTATTTAAGACTCCTTTATTGGCATTTGAACCTGATGTGCCTAGAACTGAAAAGTACTAGATTATCAAATTCAAGAGCATTAATGGCCTTGAGTTGACCTTGGCACATTATGGCTAGCAGAACTAAAGGGTGAGGAGGGAAATGGGAAGTTAATTTGGCCAGATGGTCAGAACCAGCATAGACAACTCTTTCAAGAAGGGTTGTTCTGGTAATTTTTCTTTGTTTTCATTTTGGTGGAGAAGGAACACAAAAAATGATCCAATATCCTGGAGAAATGTGGGACAAGGTTTGGTT